TTTTTTTTTTCAATAAATTTCTTCTTCAAGGGATTTGAGGGCTTCTTACCATTCTCCTGGGGAGGCGCACTGGGAGTGAACTTCCAGGTTCCAATTGTCTTGAACCACTTCTCATCTCCATCGGTCAGACCTGTGAAAAATTGAATTTCCTGCATGAATATGTGGGACCAAATTTTGAAATTGAAAATGAGATTTGCTCGTGTGATTTATCTACTCACGTTTTCTCAGGAAATAGATGAGGAGTCCTACGATTGATACACATGGAATCCCACTCGCCATGTAAATCCACCATTGAGAATTGTCATCGATCACTGCAACAAATAATCGAAATGTCAATAGTTTTTTCTTGGTAATTTTTACGTAAACGAATTTATCGAGATTAATAATTATAATAATCACCTGGAGGGTCCACTGGGAGTTGAACCTTGCTTTTGCAAACAGGCTCCTCCTCTCCGGTCGCCACAGTATTACTGGCATATCTGAAAACGAATAAATGAAGGTAATCACGAATTTCATTATTTATTTATTCATAGAACGCGAGGAATGGGGAAAATTAATAATTACCCTTCGAGGCATTTTCCACACTGTGAAGGATTTTGAGCCTTCTCAGCACCCTCCTCGCGGTTGTACTGACTGCAATTTGTGTAATGAACACATATATTTGAAACATCATAACAAAATTGATGTGGGGGACAGTCCCCCTCGTCCTGGCATGAAGTTTCCGTCGCGGCTCCCTAAAAAATGATCATCTTACGTTAAATATTTCATCATCTCCATAATGAGATATAATAAATTAAAAAATTAATTAATCTCATCAATTATAAAAGCTATAAAATAAAAATACTGGAGAAATCTACAAAATTAACTGAAACATAATGACTATTTGAATTCATTATCCAGAGTTTAAAAAATTATTATTTATAATTACCAGAGCCATTATCGCCATAAACATGATAAATCCAAATAATCTTGAGCACACCATCTGCAACCGAAGAAACCGCCAAATAATTAAACAGTGAATAAAACCCCGCAAAAACTATCTAGGAGTGAATGAAGACATAAATTTTTTTCTGCATCCCGGGGTATTCAAATTCCCATAATCCCAGGAGGTAACGACGTGTGGTCGGTTCGAGTTGCATAACCCGAATTTAGCGAGTTCATCGATCTCCCAAAAAACCGAGGGCCCAGTGTGCGATTAGATACTCCTCAGTGTTTTTATTTTTCTCCCAAACCTAAACACAGAGAGAGGGAAGGGATTCGCCGAGTGACTCGTACGTGGGGGAGCGGAGAAAGTGTTTGATGGTGGGCAAAAGACGGAAATCTCGTGCATTCCATGAGTGGTGCGTGGCGTTCGCCAAGTGGATGGGCGATGGGTCTTGAATCGACCGCGAAAGGAAAATAAAACTACTGGGGGGATGAACCCGTTCGCCATTACGACGCCATTTTTTTCCTCTTCTTCTGCGTCAGGCGGGAGCCATTATAGAGGCGATGAGAGTGCATAAATAGAAGAAGAAATCATGGCGTCACGTAATTATTTATTCCGTGGTATTAGAGTCATGTTATTCCAGCAAAATTTATGAAATGATGATTTGAAGTAAATTGGAGTCATGAAATGAAGGATTAATTCGCGTTTAATTGTTATGAAACCTGTTGGGTCGTCTAATTTCAGGGAGACGAATTAAAATTCACCCGGACGTAGGATATAACAGGGTGAAAGATGAAAATTATAGGAAAATTAATCCGTTCGCCATCACGACGCCATTTTTTTCTTCTTCGTCAAGGGAACCATTACAGAGGCGATGAGAATGCATAAATAGAAGAAGAAATCATGAACGATATGAAGAAATTAAATTTATGAAATGATAATTTGAAAGCAATTGCAATAATGAAATGAAACTGTTGTGTTGTCTAATTTCAAGGAGACAAAATAAAATTTTGCTGAACGTTGGATGTAATACAGTGAGAGATAAAAAATTATGGAGTAAAACGAAAGAGAGAGTGAGGGAGTGCGAAAGGGATTTTATAACACCGACTGATGACGCGTTGAATGCCATGGCCTCGTGCCGTGTCCGTGACGTACGCGTATGGGAAGAAATGAGCGATAAGACACTGAGAGCCAAGGATGATTGTGTCTCCTGTGTCGTATGACTTTGTATTTATAACTCACGGTGGGCTTTTCCAACGAGAGGATTAGGTGACAATCAAATGGGAATTAATTGGCGATTTTATGGAGGCGGGTGTGCGAGTGAGAAGAGGGATTGTCAAGTTACTTCCCGGGAGTGAGTTATCTTCGACAAACAATGACACGTGTTTCGCGAACCTCAGAAGCTTCCAGAGCCCAATAAATCCCATTTTGATAATCGGTTTATTCAAGTGAATAATGCAGAGGGAATAATTGAGAGAAATTGCTTTCACGAGGGATTATTTTGCGAATGAGACGCTAATCGAGTTCTCCTTAGACCAATGTTAATTAAGAATATCATTTAATATTCTCCCGCAAAAAAATTTCGTTTTTTGCATTTGAAATTCACCAAAAAATGTGAATACGAAAATGAATAAAAATAATATTGTTATTTTTAAAAAATATTCAACGAAAAAAAGGTTGATTGAATTAAGTTTCTACATTCAATATTTGTCAGCTATCCCTTTGTCTGGATGTTATGAAAGATTATTTCTCAGGAGATGAGTCACCCCTTCACGTTTGCGCGTCAAAATCCACCGTACATCGTTCGATTTTATTGTCTCAATTCTAGAAATCTCTCCACCCATCTTTTCGAATCAGGTATATAAAATGATAAAAATGAATTTTGTGCCTCGGCTTCAATCGAAGTAAAGAATTTTAAAGAAGAGGGAGAAGTGGATTTCGAGAATTGGTTGTTGGTGCGATTTCTGGAATTATTTTTCAAGTCAATATCCAGAATATCGGGCGTTTCCGCGTTTTCATCAGATTTTAATGTATTTGGACTTGTTTTATTCATTGACACAATCTCTGTTACTTGTATAAATTTTCAATTAAGTAATTATCGTTTTTCATTAGTATATTTATCCAAAATATCATTTCATTTAGGATTCAATGACTCAACGAAAAAAACGAGACTAAATTAATTAAAACTGGATGACAAGCGTAACTTGAAAATATTTCATAGTCAAAATCGTCAGTAACATGACAATTCCCCACTTGTTACATTAAAAAATTCCAAGAAATTTCAATGCCTCAACCATCGTGATTTCAATCTATATTAAAATCCGAAGACTCCGCTAATGCGATTTTAATGGGACACCCTGAGACCAGAAAGAGATGGGAAAAAATCATTGCGAAATACTTAGATTAACGTTTTATCTCTCTCCTCTCATTCGCAGAAGTCGAAAATTGTGCCAAGTGGGTCGCCATTTTACATGGCATTTGTGCAAAAGGGGGGTGAATGTTGGACTCACTGAGATTCAGTGCTCCTGACCCACATGATAATTCGTCTAATTGAATGAAATGGTGCGAAATAATTATTCTATCAGCACCATCGTCGGATTTCGGCTGCTCTTTTTATCAATGTATCTGGTTTGCGATAGTCACGAATGCTAGTGTGTATTATCAAGTCATGGTGTGGCGGCATTCTCTTTATTCGTCATACCCTCATCCGCTTCTATGTAATGTTCGAGGGAATAAAACAGACAGTGCAAACTTCGTGTGAGTCGAACGATAATTTCTCGGAAGCTTGCGAGAATAAGTGACTTTTAATGCGAGATAGTGAGACCCGGAATTACTGATCTTTGTTGTTTTATATTTTTGTTATGTTAATTTCAGTTCTGGGAAGAGTAAATGATAATTCGTAAATTTTTATGCAATTTGAGGAGGCGAACGATGAGGAAAAATCTGGGTTTTTCATTTTTTTTGTTCAATAGAGGATAAAATAAGGCTGTTATAATCAAAGAGCTTTCAAGACATTTTCCCGATCTGATCTGCCGTTCTCTAAAGTGAAATTTAATTTTTATTGCCATTTTATTAATGAAATTATCTCAATAATGAGATATTTTAGGAGAAAATGTCAAGAAATTTTTGCGCAAAGAATTATCTCGGCTCCAAAAAAATTCTTTTGACATTCTCTTCTAGAATGCCTCGCTCCAAAGATAATTACAGAATTTAATGATGGAGTGTTGAAAACAATAAATTATTTCAACTCTGGAGCCACTGATTTTTGGATAAATATTTCTGAATCTCAGGGGAATGGCCACCTTTACATCTCACTTCGCTGCATAAAAATTTCGCTGAGTCTCAAATTCCTGAATATAAAAAAAAAGCAGACTAACAAGCAAAACCGACGTTCTACCGTTTTACCGTCTACTCTCATTATCAGCTCTAATTTGAAAATAAATCTAAAATTGCGTGAATCCTTTGGATTATCAATCGAGTACTCGTAATAATCATGTGTACGAAACAAGATACCGAACTGCCTTTGAAATTCAACTCAACATGGCGCCGCTCCCCTTGCAGATCCACTTGTTGCGTCAGAAAATTGTCACAACATAAACTGTCACAATGGCGAACTACCCCATCAGGTGAATTCATTCCCTTCATGCTCAACCCCTGCAATAGACCTCCATCAAATTTTTAATTCACTTGGAATAATTGAAAAATATCGTGACAAAGCCCGCAGTAAACTGGAGGTTACCTTCAATCCAATGTGTCATCTCACCTTTTCCCCTATTTGTTTTGGGAAATTTAAAGATCGAAAGTGAGGATGACATCACACTATACCCCAAATATTATTATGACAGTTAACAGTTACTGATGACTAATCAGGCTTCGAATGATAGCTTCACTCATTTTTTTATCCTCTCGTTTTCACTTGTCACAACATAAATATGAAAGCATGCAGTTTAATGCCCTGAGTGATAAAAAAGTGGCGATAAAAAAATGTTAACGACTAGTTATGAATTTTTAACTTTTGTCTAATGAAATTATCAAAAGTTGCAATCGTTCTCGTGACGTTTGAGATCTGGTGACATTGAGGTTTAGCCCATGCAGTTGAAAAAAATGATATTCCACGTATTTATGAATATTTATGAATATTGGATGATAAAGAGCAAACTTGCTCCACTTTACTCACCGTGAAAAGCCTCGAACTAGTCTCCATCCCTGACAAATGGATCACCCCTGCAGTAGAGACTTCTGTGACTGTCTGACCAGGCGCGGATTTTCTTTTCATCCACCAGAGATCGCATTTGCCTGATCACCCACTGATAAACTAATAATTTTCTGTCACTCTAATTTTTTTTAATTAACAAGTTGTATTCACTGGGAGACGTGAGAACGTCGTCCTTCGAGAGAGCGTCCTACTGGCCGCGCGAACCAACGTGCAGTGAGCGTGTTCAGACACGTTCGTTTCATCTTGAAAGCTGTGGTGGGGGTGGACCAAGTGTTTTCTCGGACAGTGGGGGCATCGTCGCGCGATGGTGCCCTTCAGAAGAATTCCATTTTTTCGTGGAAATAAAAATCTTTATAATAGGTGCGACAACCCCCTTTTAAACATTTGGAAATGAAGTTTTTGAATTCTGATTTCCAAAAACATCTCGGAATTTTCATTTGTAATTATTAATAATTAATTTAAAAAATTCTTATTTGCTCAAAAAGTTGAATATGAGGTGGAGCACTTCATAATTTTCAATTTATATAAATATTCAATTCAAAAAATGACAAAAATGTGTGAATTATTCAAAAAAATCTCGCCATTGTAAAAAAAATGATAAAAAATTATTTAAAATTTTTGATAATCAATGAAAAGAATTAAACGATCAATTATCCATGAATCTAATTTTCTCAAAACAATTTAAAAAACACTTATGCACTTGCTTCACCAAGTGCAACAGTTCCTGACCTATTTTAATCCGCCCAGAGAAACTAGGGGATCACAACAAGGGAATGGAGGGGAGATGTTGCCCACCTGACTGCAACAGAGCTCGCGATCTCCACGCGGTCATGTGCCAGGGGGGGAGGGCCTTGGCACCAGCGCCAATCGAGGGATCCCCTGTCTGCCGACACCACGACGCCGCTATCTCCGCAGAGAGCGAGAGGTCCCCTGCTCTCATCTCCGACACTGCAACTAGCCCAGGGAACAAGGATGGGTACAGTGGCGTGTGTCGTCCACTTTTTTCCCACTTTATCGCTCTGTTTCTCTTTTATCGAGCCCTCGGCTGTTGCTATCCCAACAATCGAGGTGAAATCGTACGAGATGGATATCGAGTTTCATTAGAGATGACGAACCGAAAAAATGTTTATTGTTTTGGTTTTTTATGGCGGCTTGCGCTACGATGATAGGATCTACTCCAATTTCGTTATTATTATTATCATTATTATTATTATTATTAATTATCCATTGTTATGGATCATTATCCACTGCTAAATTAACAATCATGAGGAATTGTTGATGAGTAGTTGTTGTTAATTGTTAATAATTTATCATAAATTGTTACACATAATGTCGTCAGATTTTACGGAATCATGAATGCATTCGAGTGAATTTGGAGCACGCGGGGAATGTCAACCGATTTTTATGCTAATAATCCTCGCGAAATCCTTGAACACTTGTTGACAATAAAAATGAGATGATTTACCGTGCGGCGACGAGCGGCGGGTCGTAGACCCAGTTTCACAGGTTCAACATTCGGCCCTGGGATGAATCATGTACCGCAGGTCATTGAATTGCCCGATGGTCTTGGTCTCGCACACGTTTTATGTCGTGTCTCTCACTTCTCTCCGGCTCTCTCTCTCGACCGACCTCCACCGTGAGGTCTTCATGTTTTCGCGATTTCACTTTCATTGCGCCGATGTTGGAAATTTATTTGGGTTTTTTCGTTCTTTTTTATGGATTGTTCATCCTTTATTCTTTTGCAAGGCCTCAATGATTTTGTCTGATGATTTCAGTGACGATTTTTATGGCAAACGTTTTATTCCGAGATAAACTCTTGTTTTACCCATTTTGCGGGGGCATTCCCGCGTTATTGGGAGAAATGAAATGCAAAATGGCAACTGGCGATGGCAGCGGCATCTCGTGGTGTCCATAACGCGGGATATTTAAAATATAAACAATAATTGTTGAATAATTGTTGATAATTTGATCAATTGGGCAGACGACAGCAACAGCATTGTTTTAACTCGAAATGAAATGAAAAAATGTGATTCGTTGGCATTTGAAGACATAAAAAAAAATTCTGAGAATCATTTTTTGTTTTTAATTGTAATAATCGGATAAGTCACGTGTTTCCAAAGTAAATAAAGCACCAATTACGTAATAAACATCAGTCGCTTGGCCTCTAATTTCGTCTGGCCGATCTCAAGAGACTACAAAGAAATCCTAACGTCGATTTTGGAGTTTCGTGTGGGCAGCGAGGGCAGGTGGGTGTGAGTTCAAAATCCAAACAATCGTCCCCTCAATTTTTCATCGATAAATGCCGAATAAAATGTAAAATATCCGTAAACAGGACTTTGCTGCAGGCCAGAGACAAAGGATATCATTGATTCCGCGGGAGGTGAGCAAGTGATAATTAATTGTTGAAGATTTTTTTCATAACCTCAAAATTTTTATTTTCTCACTATATTCACGCGCATTGCAGTTGATTCCCGTAATTATCGTCATTTTATTGTTTTCATTTGCTATTTTTTACGTCTTCCCTGCACTGTTCCCTGAAAAGGGAGCCGAAAAAAACGCTGAAAAAAAAATGAAAAAAAAAAAAAAAATCTCGGATTATTGATTTTTTTTTTCATTACAAAAAATTTTCGATTTGATTTGATAATTCATGAAATTGAACAATGAGTGTTATTATCCACGAGCAATATCCTGACATTGACCCTCGTGACCTTGAACGTTGCACCGAATGTCATACAATCAACAAATGCAGAGCAATTGTTGCAGTATAATTAAATACAGTCTGTTTTGCATAAAAAGTCTTAAATTCATTTATGCGGTGTGAAAAAAAAAATTCCTTCATCAATGAAACCAATCTTATCTGGAAAAAGGCAAATTCCAGTGTAAATACAATCTGATAAGTATAATGTTGCAGGTGAGAAATTGAGATACATTTTTTGTAAATAATTTTCATCATACAACACGCATCTATCCGCTATTTTTATTGACGCGAACAAAAAGTGAAAATTACAGGATTGGAATGCAATAAACGTTTGGAATTAGTTTATTCACATATTACTTGGCAAATTACATATTCTTTAAAAAGACGAAGTGACCACATCCATCAAAAATTGACATTAAAAATAGACATGAAAAATTGATCATGAAATTGATCAATAATTTAAAAATAATAAAAATAAAACGAATCCCTTCATCAGTGATCCACCATCCCGGCCTGCCTCGACTCATTGACCTTGAACATTCAACGACTACACCTGCCCCAACATTTCCGCAGTTCCGTCAAGTGCTGCCATCGTCGTTATCCCCCTATCACGATAAAGCACGTGATAAACTCCACTTTTATTCGCATAATCCGCACAACATACGTTACCTACACGATGTAACACCTAGAGCCACGATAAAGCGTATTAGCGGATGAGTCTAGAGGACGGTTCAGTCAACGATCCGGGCCCGAGTGCTCCGGATGTGTTTACATCGAGAATTCTAGTTTTCATTCGAATGAACGCGAACAAAATATTCAAATCGTCACCTAATTTGTACCTAATGCATTACACTTGGATTTTTGTTTTCATTCGGTCGATCAATTCCGGTTGTTGCATTATTCATCGAATTTCTAATGATGATTGATGATTATCAAGTAGAAATTACGCGCACCTGAAACATTGTGCATCCTTGTGTAACAAGTCGCTGAGGTGACGATTAATTCACGTTATCTAACAATTTTTTTCGAGTTTTTTTAATGATAACACGCTGATAGATGTAGACGGGAATAAAAGTCTTATCGAAGAAATCTTTTGGATTGACTCATGATGCTGGCGATATAAGTTAACGAGCTCGTAATTAGTCATTTGTTCATTCAAGAAGACTCGAATGGCTTTTTTTTTGTGATAAGAAAGAGCGCTTGATTGATTGATTGATTGATGACGAACGCCGGAAATTAAGATCTCATAATTGGAAGAGGAAATGAGATGTTTATCGTGGAATTTCTACTGTTGATGCAGAATGATCCGAGTATGGCGGTGAATATTTGGAAAGAGGAAGGAGTGAAGAAAAAGGAGACATGAGTGAGCGCAGGGGGTTCAGGAACGAGAGGCGGGATTCAGTCAGCTCTCTCTCCTCGGACGATCCACTCCACGAGATGAGTGATTTCTATGGGCAGACGCCACCCAGGACGCGACAGAGCAGGAGGCAGCGGGAGAGGAAGCAGAGGACTTCCTGGGGGTGAGGGAATTATCATAAAGCGATCGTTTGGATTTAGCAATTTATTGAGAATTTTTATTTGCCATTGGATTGAGCATTTGCCACCATCTGAAATTAAAATTCCATATAAACTATGTTTTTTTGAATATTTAAAAAGTTTTCACTTGCAATTTCAAGTGAAATTGGTTACAAGTATAAAATTTTCTGTTAATTTCCTCTTTGCAGTGAGACGAAAGCCTCACCCGCATCAAGAGAACTTCGCGCAAAGCCCAATATCTGCCGCCGAGACACCCTGGACACAATGATCTTCAACAAAATGTGCGAGGATGCGGACAAGGCTCGCGACAAAGAAGAGGCAGCCAAGGAGGGCAGCAGAAAATCCAAGAGAAGTTTAAAACTAGCTCGAGGAAACGAGAGAGATCTAAAACTTGATGTTGAGGCTGCAGCACATTATGCTGAACGATCAGAGCGTCGATCAGCCCCAGTGCCATGCAACATGAAGGTTTGGCGTCGTGTGGTTCGTCATTGTCTGTCAAGTTCTCGCTTCATTGCATGTGCTCCTTCTAAAAAAAAACATTTGGCCATTTCTCAAAGTTCAATCTCTTCTGTAGATAGAGACCAGGAATAGATTTCGTTGTTTGCGATCTAAACCAGTGGACATTAATCACAAGAGGAGGGAGCCTGCCCCAGTTACTGCCCCAGCACCACCAACACCAGTTAATAGTGTTGAGGAGGCGAAACCAAAGAATTTGACGGAGAGAGAAGTGTTTCACGATACTTTCGCGTTTTTAATACGTCTGGTGAGTGGAAATGAATTGTTGGTTTTGGTAGAGGATCCTTCATCCTTTATTCAACATGGTTTCTTATTATTTGTCAATTAATTTTTGATCAGGGAAGTACAGACAGGGAAAAGAATTGTAGAAGACAGATGAGTAGCGAAGAGTCGAGATGGCAAAACGAACTCAAGGATTTAATTTGGTTGGAACTCCAGGCGTATCATGCAGACAGGAGTCTCATGGCTCAGGATGAGTATCTGTGCAAGCAGAGAGAGGCCGTTGGGCCTTTACTGACTGAAATAATGGACTACAGGTGAGAAAATTCAACTATTCAGCAATTACCCTCATAATATTGTCTGCTGAATTCATTCACAGATACAATCCAGTTTCATACTCCAACCCCCCATCAGCAGCATCAAGTTCCAACGACAGTGGCTTCGAAGGATCAACCCCTGTCATAGTAGAGCCCACGTGCATGGGGTGTTTGAACATGCGGTGCAGACCCTGCTCCAGGGCGCAGCTGACAGCCCTCAAACAAGTAGAAGTCCTACTTTGTCGGCTGGAGGCCGCCGAGGCCCTTTACCCATCGTGCCAGGCCTTCGCTGCCAATTACCCGATGTATAAGAGCCCAGAGTTTACCGGCAGAGTCAAAGCCATGTGCCTGTGGTACAACATGACTCGACATCACAGGCTGAAACTGCAGATCTTGGGAAAATTACTGATGCTGCTGGATAGCCCAAAAAATACGAACTATGAAGTCGATTCTGGAACTAGGTAAATTTGACAAATTTACTTCAAGTTCACTTCTAATTATTTCCACACCTATTTTTGTTTTTAATTGAAAATTGAATTTGTGTAAACATCAGGCATTCTGCAGTGATTTTATTATTCACACTTTGAAGCTTCAAATTATATTTTTTACTTCAAATCGTGAAAAACATTTTAAAAGCCTGAAGAAAATCAACAAGTCTGTTTTTCATCGATCCTCATGAAATCGTGTTATAAATAATTTCCAAAATTTATTCCATCCCCATGATTTATAAAAAATGTTTTAATTCCAATATTAATTATCGTCATGAAGAATACGAAGCATTATTCAATTTTTCAGTTCAAGATCCTCCGAAACTACTGATTTCCTCGACCCCAAGCCGCCAGTCGTCCGTTTCGAGCTCTCCTGCCTGGATGACAGTGCCAACAGCACCCCCTCAGACAGTACTAACAGCAACTCCTCCGCGGGGGGCATGTCCCTCCTGCAGTCCTGGCCGTCGACCCCCGAGTCGACCCTCAGCTGCTTGGACGACCACAGATTCGACTGCCTGGACCACTACCTCATGGAGTTCGACAGACAAGCCTACCGAAAGTACATCGAAGAGGTCCTCAAGACTCGGGGTTTGGGCAAGAGCCTCAACTTCCTGGAGCGTCTGCACACCTCAGTCCTCCGGAAAGCCAGTCTCGCTCTGAAAAAATGGGCCACCGAATCCGAGCTCTCGACGAACGAAGAGTACGAAGGCGACATCGAGCTCAAACGCTACGGAGTCTGGAGCCCAGAGGCCAAAGCTCTGAACCTCCCCTCGTACAGATCGGCCTTTATATTCCTCTCTCGAGTGCCTCTGGACGTTGTCCACGAGTTCCTCAGGATGAGGCTCGAGCAGAAACCTGAGCAGCCAGGGCCCCTCTCAGTTCGACAACTGATGAGGGAGATGCGAGAGGGGCTGAGGATCGCCTGCATCCATCGAGACAGATTCGTCGAGCACTCGAAGACAGTTCACGCTTTCGATGACTACATCACGGGAACGTCCACAGAATCCCCTCCACACTCACCTCTCGTTGAGTTCGACGACGTGAAGGACTTTGACGACAGCTTGCAATCGGTCTTCGAGGTGTACCTGGATTATCTGCGCCAGTGGGTGGAGATGGTCCAGTACAACAGCTTCCACAAGAGCCTGATTGACGACGAGTGGAGTTTCGTGAAGTCCATAGCCGGGGGGATCAAGCACGGATACAAGATCGGGGGAATTAAATTTTGCGATATAACTTGCACGATGATAGAGCAGATACAGGAGTTCCTGGTGACGAGACCTCAGGAGATCAAAGAGAGTACTGATGCCCTCGAGGGAGATGTCTCGGTGATTAAGTTTCACCTGATGTCTGTGGGGAGGGAGTGGCAGGGGACGTTCGTGGAGGCTAGGGAGAAGATCACCAAGTGCCTGACATTCGCTAAATCCTTGAAGAAGGACATTAGTCAGTGGCCTGATGCCTCTGGAGACCTCAGCGATGCAGTCTTCCACATGAAAAATGTTGTATTGAGTCTCAGGGATCGATTGATCGTTCTCATAGAGGACTTCCAAGCGACCATCGACGCGGCTGAGGAACCAAAGTCCGAGAATGATCAGTTTGCCATGAAGACTCGAGTTCGAGAGATTCTGCATCAGGCTTACAGAATGGGTTTTGATTATCATAAAGAGGTCTGCAAGTTGTTTTCACCTGAGGAGAGGGGACTTTTGGTCCATGGGCTGGTGGATTTCGCCATGTTGTGGATGGATTTCGTGAAGGACAGGTGCGAGAGGGGCAGGGGGCTGAGACCTAGATGGGCGAATCATGGGTTTGAGTACTTGATGACAGTCTGTGAGTCCTCGAACACTAGGTATTTGTCTGACGAGGAGTTCGAGGCGCTGAAAGAAGCGATGGATCGATGCATATCCCATGTTGTTGGGGTTGCGAGTGCTCCTGGTTCACACTCAGAGCAAGAAGGGGTCAAGAGACTCCCCAGGTCTCGGGCCTCATCACCAGCGAGTTCTGGAGGTAGAACGAGTTTCAGTATTCCTTCCAAGTCGAAGGATAGCCTGAGATCTCCGGAGGCAAATCAGAGGAAGTATTCGTCTCCACATTCGAGTGATGGGAGTCTAGCTGTAAGTTTAATTGTACCTGAGACGACGCAAGTGAAGAAGGAGAGGATTCTGTCGGCTTTGAAGAAACTTGAGAGTGAGATTGACGAGAAGAGAAGAGGATGTGAGCTCATTGGCAGTGTCACTGACAGAAAGTCTGTGGATAAAATCAAAGTCAGGATTAAGAGGGTCACTTTCACCTGGCAGAGGGGCATCAAGATTGGCCAGGGGAGGTTTGGAAAGGTTTATACAGTCGTTAATAATCAGACTGGTGAGTTGTTGGCTATGAAAGAAGTTCCTTTGCAACCTGGGGATCACAGGGCTGTCAGGAGACTCGTCGAGGAATTGCAGATCTTCGAAGGAATCCAACACAAGCATCTGGTCAGATACTATGGCATTGAGATTCAGAGGGAGGAGATGCTTTTGTTCATGGAATTCTGCGCTGAAGGCACTCTGGAGAGTCTCGTCGCAGGCTCCGGGAATGGACTGCCTGAGATATTCATCAGGAAGTACACACATCAGCTTCTACTGGCTGTTTCTGTTCTGCATAATCATGGAATTGTCCACAGGGATATCAAGACTGCGAATATATTTCTTACGGATCAGGGGAATTGTCTTAAACTTGGGGACTTTGGGTGTGCAGTACAGATCAAGGCGCATACCACTATGCCTGGGGAACTGCAGGGGTTCGTGGGGACTCAGGCGTACATGGCTCCTGAGGTTTTTATGAAGACTCAGAGTGGGGGACATGGCAGAGCTGCTGATGTCTGGTCTGTTGGCTGCTGCGTCGTGGAAATGGCCAGTGGCAAGAGGCCTTGGGCTGAATTTGATTCCAATTATCAAATTATGTTCAAGGTGGGAATGGGAGAGAGTCCAGCACCTCCGAAACACCTCTGTAAAGAGGGTGTTGAGCTGGCTAGCAAGTGCCTCACCCACGATCCAAAGAAACGACCAACAGCCAATTCCCTGCTGTCACATCCCTTCGCAAGGAACTATGATGATGTCAACGTTGATCTACTTACTCGTGTGGCTAGCTGAATTGACTGAGTGCTTGTATTTGTCTATTTATCTACTTAACGAAAACCCACTGGCTGCGTTGTTTGAAATTTCTCAAAGCCTGACGCCCGTTCTGCTTCTGTATATATCGGGAATTTAATTGTGATAGATATTCTGTGCCTGTTTCAACATTCCGGACTATAGTCGCTGTGAGTAATCACGCAATATAAAGTTTATGGATTCTATTCTGTGTTTTATTGGGTGGGGAATATTTGAGGATTCAACGAATTAAGACAATAACATTGATTTCTTTATTTTCTTCGATCTCCCGCTGGATTTACAAGGTTTCTCTAACAGTTCGACTTTATTTAAAAATCAACTACATTCTACTGTCAGGCTTGATTAGCCCTGATATGCGTGTGATATTCCTGACTGCAAAGCAATCACAAAGATTCCTCCCAATACGTTTGACTGATTTTTTTATAATCTCGGATCGGTAAATACTTTCATAACCGAGTCTAAGCGGTTTTTAGAACACAATATCGTTTGTTTCAAACTCTAGTTCCTTCACGTACATTTATATTATCGCTAATAGTACATTTATGACAATTCAACAGTGATAGACATTTTTTTCTCTTGTCGCGTTCATATTTAAATAAATCAATTGGATAAATGAACCATCAACAACCGGTTGCATCAACAAACTAAATATATTATAAATTCTTCAGTTATAGTTTCTCTCGTAAAATACTTCAGACTAGTGATGCTCAGCGTCACTTTCCAACTTTGTTAAATAATTTATTCACTCGCATTTTGTTCCCACAGATATGCAACGATTTCATTGTATTCGCGATATATTACTCTGAAAATCAACGATTATAATTACTCGGGCCTTCTCAGAAAATCATGAGAATTCATCGTTTGTAAATAATTATTCGACAATATTCTCTCGTTAATCATAGGCCAATGAATGTAACAACAAAAAATACTGAAGCGGTTACAACTAGAGTATTGCACAGACTAGATAGACGAGTACCATTAATTTCATTCTCTAACAACTGTCTGGACAAGAGTGCACTGGTGCGGGCGCCAATAGATTGGCTGACTTAAATTAAAAATGCCGATTTGAAGTCATCAAACTGTTAATAATAATCCTCTCATCGAGTCTATCACAAATCATTCGATTCTCTATGGAAATTAATTCCAAGTCAAACGAAATCATTTTAGCCATAGGATTTGACTGTTCGATTTGACGTCAAAAATGGAATTGTGCAATTGCGATGAGTCAAATCGTATAACAATTGATTTGAAATAATTTCAAGGCATTTTAATGGAGCCATGCAATTGCGATGAGTCAAATCGTATGAATGAAATCGTTTGTGTCAAATTAGCGCCTACTGAAGTCATCTAAATCCTCTACATAATCTCCAATACCCATTCACAATTAGACTAATAATTTATTGGCGTTCTTCAGCATCGTAGCCATCTCCCTCATACTCAACTCAAGTGCCTGTGCGAATTTCCTCGCACTGGTTCTCCCATCGCTGTGAAATGCAGACACAGAAAAGATGAAACCATTTTTACGGAGATTGTAAGCGCAACCGTAGCCGTCAGGCACAACCGGACCGTAACCGACTATTGCGTCGTTTCTCGTCGTCACCTGTGGACAAACAGACAATTATGAGATTCATTACTGGAGATCCGGGCCACTGGCAGCTCTGACGAAAACGATTTTCTGGGGTTGCAGGAAGTTTGGGGGGTAGTGGATGACTTCCGGAGTTGGAGAGCTAGAGTTACAGGATTGCTTCCTGGCTCGCCCTTTATACCGGGGGGACTGACCCTCGTGTCAGAACGCACTTCAATTCCCCATGTTTCAATTCTTCTTTAATTATCGGGTTTTTTTCGAAAGGGGGAGTACATTTCACTTGCAGGAGTTTCATTGTTAACGTCAAGTTTTTTTTTGTTTTAATTGTAACTTTTTCCTTTTGCGCATTCGGAGAAGGGGAATTTTAGTGATGTATTCCACGAGATGAAATAATTCTAGTGATTAACTATATTCATATTCTTTCACTTGATAAAAACTCAATTCTCCATGTTTTAATTCTTTCTTGATTATCAGGTTTTTTTCGAGGGAAATTAAATGGTACTGTCAAGTAGTTTTTTTTTTCAATTGTAATTTTTTCATTTATAAATTTGGGGCAGAAGAAATTTTTAAAACGAATTTAAAATCGATTTCATCGTAATGAAATGTATTTTTACATCATTAGAAATGTAAAAAATTCTGTTAGATATTTGGTCCCCTCACCTGAGAAGTGGACAACGCAAAATGATGAACAATATTGAAGGCCTCGTCAGTAAAAAGTTCGGGAAGTGGTTCTCCCGCTTCTTGAGCCACATACCTCAGCCCCATCAAGTGATTATCAATTCCATATCCATGAATGTTATCAGCTATCTCCTTGGCCTGACGTTGAACAGCCAGATCGAACAATTCCTTGATGCGTTGCTCCTGGGGAAAAACCTCATGACAATAAATTCGTCATTTAGAATTTTGGGTAATTAATGCTAGCGTGACTCATGCAGGGGGTCGAAAACTCTTTAAAAGCGATAAAAGATGGATCGATTGAGTTCAATACTCCTTGGTAATCACTCCTCATTACCAAAGTGGCTGTGTATTTTTATTTATGTTCCATTTCAGGAGCAAAAACATCACCTGAACCAACATATCTGTAATTGAGACTATTCTGGAGGATATAAAAGGGACTGATGCAAAGAAAACAGTGGAAAATCCTCGTGAATTCCTCCACTTTTGCTTTTCCTTATTCTCCCCCCTCGAGGCTTTTCTCGAGGACACGACAAACACTCGATCCCCGGTTGGGATCTAATTGATTGCCATTTTCAATGTTCCGCGTCCCTGTTTCACCGCAATCAACAAACAATGGACTTTTCTTTTAAAAAAATAGAGAGTGAGCATCTGTTTGTCGAGGGATTCAGCCTCTGAAGATAAAACCTGAATCAACATCTCTCATTCGAGCTCAATCGGTCATTGTCAATAAATATCTCGACACACTCGAGGCCATTGAAGAAAAATGCACGAGGGACATTTGACTTCATTTATCTCAAGTAAAATCATAGTACAAAGCGATAAAAAATTAAATGGTGCGACCAGCTTGCAGAAGCCTCACTCAATTGTAATTGTTTAAGGATTGTTACACTGTAAATGGTGAACTGTACTCTTTTGGAGCCTTCGTCCTGGGCATCGTTTTGGGCATCGGGGTCACCCTGGCACATGGCTTTCACCCATGCCAGACTCTCTGGACTCGCTGCACGAATTACGTCGACACGACCTAGGGCAAATCTACGAATACTCGCACTCTCGTATGTCGCGACTAAACGTCCGTGCAATCTGAAAAAAGATTTCATTGATTGAGGGTGAATTAATCAGAGAGCTGGAGTTTATAGGTCGATAGGTAGCTCTGGAGTTTCGGGGGAAAGTTATTCTCGATGGTGTACGGAACTGTTAAATATGGGGAACTTATAATTGGGTATTGTGTGGAAACGCTGGGGGTGAGTCGATTTTTATTGAGGGATAATTCATGTTTTCTTGGGACAAAATACTTTTTTAATTGGGAATTATTTCCTGGGGGATGAGTTCACAAAAGTCGATGTTTGGAAAAATATTTTATGCATCCTTCAATCATTTTAATGAAGATGATGTCATGAAATGTTATAAATGCCACGAAAATCAATTCCGTAATTGGCAGCGGGCGTTGTACCAAAGAGAAAATAAATATTGATTCAATTAACGAAATGGTGGAATGCCAATTAAATTACCTGAAGCAGGTCAATTGGAGTGCAAGCTGTATGTAGGCGTCTGGACTGATACTGCAGGCCTTGATGAATTCCTTGGAGTAGTCCTCGAACCACAAGATGCAGAGATCCAGGTCTTCAACGAGACTTTAACGAGTGGTTATTACTCTCGTGTCTCTCCGGGGTATTCATAAGTTTTGATAATAACATGAGAAGACACTTACGCGTCGAATGCTGTCGTAGCTTCACGAATGTCGCTGAGACTCTGCTCTGAGAGTCGCCACTCGAGTCTCTCGGGTCCTGGAAGATGCGATGGCACTGGGTTATCGTCTGAGGGGGGCATTTCGTCGACCTTCTCGGTTAGGGTCTCGAAGGCATTGAATATTGAGGGAGCTTCTCCTGCTGAGTGCTCGTATGACATTCCCCAGAATCCATCCTGACCAAAAAATAAAGAATACCACCTTCAAGAAATTTTCAGAACAGTACAGAATCCCTCGGAATTCTTACATTAATTTTGCTTAAAATCGTAAAAATTTATAAAAATTGTTTTTACCATTTTTCGACTAAACAACGATTTCAACATTTAAAAAATTGGAGCACCGTAAGACGAGCCACCAAACGCACTACTAAAAATAAAAAAACAAAAAATGAAGTGATGACGTTTGAAATGTCGACGGTATCAGACTTACAATTGGAAAATTGACTCATCACTTTATCGCTTTACATTTATGATTCTCATTAAAAATAATTTTTACATTTCGAAACGACTTCCGCCAGTGAAAGTTACTTAATAATAATTTCCCCAATGAAGAATAGAAACAGAGGAATAACAAATTTACGACTGGACTGTTGGAAACTTAATCTATGATAATTCTACTACAAATGTAATGATCCTGACCTTGCCAATTATTATGTGGAAAGTCTTGTCGAACCAGCGATTGGCGCCGAGATGACGCGAACCACCACCGTGGAGACAATGATGGAGTGCATTGGCATAGTCACGATCATTCAGCCATCGATCATCTTTTTTATATGGCTCGTTGAATGTAACGGGAAGGACGTCGTCGTCTATGCAGACGACGCAGAGACAACGCTTCAGAAGCTCGAGATTGTGACGATTGCGTTCGTCTGTAAGAATTAATTGAACAATTTCATAATTTTTTTTTGCTTGTCATTGTTGAATTTGTAACAGAAATGGTAAGACGTAACAGGTGAAATTTATTAGTCATTCAAATATTTAATTATCTCCTTAGCCAGTGGATTAAGGGGAAGTGTTGTCAGACCGTTTCTCTAGACAATTCAATTCTCCACAAAATTATGTTTCGAATTTTTCACTCAAAGTGCACTCGTAAAAAAATAATTTCTGCTTGTGAAACATTTACACATCATTTTGAATAATAACTGATTTTAGATAACTAATAAATGATGAGTGATAAAA